TGGGATTTGTGGAAGTCAACAGCTGCCAAGCGCGGACTTTTTGGTGGCGGCACCTCTCTTCTCTAAGCGGGTCGTGAAATGTCTAGCGAGCGGTCTCCTTGCTGCTAGCCAAGACGACTTTTTCCTCTCCCACCAGGCGAGCGATTCAGAAGCCCTTTCGGGGGCCCGCGGGGGTGCGGAGTTTCACGCTCGCTTCCGTTGGTTTTGTCAGCGTCATAGATATGCGATCTCCTTCCCTCAGTCTCACAAGAGGTCCCTTCTGTCCACGTTGTTTCCTAAAAGCCGCCTGGAAAGCTGAGTTTGTAGTGCTCAAGTTCTGTTGGTGAGACAGACTGTATTTCACTTGGGTTTGTGGCACCCTGAATCCAGAAGGTCAACGCAAAAACATACTTGTCCAGGAGTGTGTTGTTAGGCCAGATGGGGCAATTCAGTTTTTCTTAAGTGAAACCCTCGTAGGAAAAGATTTGTGCAAACCTAGAGAAGTGCTTCTAAAAGTTGCTTCTTTGTTAGAGTTGTTCCAGAAATTTATTTTAGTGTGCATGTGTATGTTTCTGTAGTTTTGCTCCGACTTCTGTTGTGTGCATGGCTCTTTTTTTTTTTTGGTTGCCTTCCTTGTCCAAAAACACTTGTTTGCTTCATCACCCACTGGAGTAGAGAACGTACTCGGCTGACGTTAGAGTCGCTTGTTTGGAACCTGAGCTGAAGATATGATTTGGCTCGACTTGGACATTGGTGGGGTGGGGGGGGGGGGGGGAGGGTGCTTGGCTCTGACCCTGCTAATCTGGGCAGGAGCGGAGGGGAGGGAGTGTTGATCTTGATGTAGCCACTGATACTAGGTGATATTTCTGCCAGTTCAAAACTCCCTTACTAAAGAAACATTTGGATACTGCTAGATCCCTGGGTGGTCGCTACGGAAGCATTTGGAGCCTGCCATACGCAAGTATAATCCAGGAATATCATCGTTTTGAGAGCAGATGAACTTTCTCGGAGAGAACGCGTTAGCATTGCTGCATGTGGGCTGAGTTCAAGTAACTGGATCTTCCTGAGGTCTGCTGAGTAGTGTCGTCTTATAAATGGAAAATGGGTAAAACTCATTGTCTTTTTAAAGTGGCTCTTGCCAGTTGCTTTCGGATGGCTTAGAAGCACCTCATACTGTTTTTTGTCATATAGTCTCTCCTTCTTGCACCTCTTCTTCTATTGAGGTTATGTTGGTGTAGTGTGCAGTCTGCTTTCTTTAGAAAAAGGGGTATTTCTTTTTCTTTTGAAAGCGCTAGTGTGCCACCTTTCTGTAGGGCAGTTGTTGATGAGTCCCTTCAGAGAGGATGATATGGACAAGTGTGTTGTGGAGTGGTTCCTTAACATAGACTACTGGGGAAAACAAAAGACGTGTATGTTGCTTGTGCTGACAGCCAGGAGTTTAAAGGCTTATGAAAGTTTCTAGGTCTTTCCTTTTGTTACTTTTGACCCGGGCCTGACACTGTTGCATGTGTGTGTTAGTGTATCCTTTGGTCATGACTCAACCTTTACCCTGAATAACCACTATCCTTGCCCAAAGTATTTTATTTCTGTGGCCCTTGCTGCTGTTCTCGCACTGTCTGTTATGGACATGGTCACAGAAAATTGAAATTTAGGAGCCTCCTGTCTTTTTGACCGTGTGACTTGCGTGGAAAGTACCTTTTCTCCTTGAAGTTCCAAAGCTAGGGGATGGCGTTACTCTCGTGCCCTGCTAAGTTTGGAAAAATTCAAGAATTCGAGACTTGTAAGTGAAGTAAGAAATCATTCCAGAAGTAATGTAGTATAATTTGAAAGGTAGTTTACTGCTATAAATGCAGTCCTTTGGAAATGTGATTCTTTTTAGCTGTTTGCCTGCTCTTTTTAAAACTCTTTAAAACTCTTTTTAGAGAGAAGTTAGGTGTTACAGAATTTTTAATTGGCTTTGTTTTGAGTGGATGGAATGATTTGTGTTCTTATTCAGTCTTAATAACTTTAACCTGGAAGATACTGTATTTTAATTACATTATGGCATCTGTCATGGTCAGTACCGTGACAGCTGTCTTTGTCGTGGGGAAAACCAAGCAAAGGAAAGGGGAAGCAGCTTTATTTAAAAAAAAAAAAAAAAAAGAGTATCTTTTATCCCTTGCACTAATTTCCAAACATCTATTACTACTAGACGAGAGCTGGAAATATCCAGGTCTGTACGGTAAGCAGCTGTCCTAGGTGAATGTGTTCAGTGCCGTTCACAGTACATTTAAATGTTTCTTGCCTGTCCGGTTACAAAGTTAGCTTTCTGAATGCAAACAAAGAACCTCTTTATGGCTGAGATTGACTTTTATTTTTGGTACAGTGAAGCATGCTAGATCTGATATTTGTACCGAGTTAACATTGGAACATCATCAGTCCTTTAATATCTGCCTGCAGAAGAGTGACTGTTGATTTATCCTACGTGTTCAGTCTTTCTATGCCAACCCACTCTGGTCTTCGGTTATCAGTTTTGGATCATCTAGTTCGCTCCTGTGTATCATTTTCTCTGTAAGACTTCTGTGCTGCCGTGGATTTCTGCGTGACTTCCCAACTTGTACTGAGCCAAAGGATAGCCTCCAGAAAGGCATCCAGTCTTGATTTGAAGGTGTCAGGAGTCAAAAAATACGTCTTTGCCACCGTGTTACATTGTGGCTCCATGGGTTAATTGCTTTTACTAAGCCTTACTTTAATATGAGTTTAACTAGCTTTAATATCCTCTATTGGTTCTTTGTGTGCTTTTCTCTGTCATAATAAATAACCCTTAATCGCCATCACGTGGATATGGTGTGGGCTACTAAGGTTGTATGGTCTTAGTGTGGCAGGAGAGATCGACAGAGCTCAGGAACTGGAGGGTGGGGGGGAAGAAAAAGAGAATGGGGAATTGTAGGTAGAACAGCCTGTGGACTACTACAGCTTTCATAGAAATTAATTCAGCCTGTTTGCTGCAAAAAGCTTAGAAATTGCATCTGGGGAAAAGATAGCCTGTAGATCCCTCTACCTAGGTGTGTGTCTCTGTGTTCTATATTATGGGAAATCTTTCCTGGTCGCTAGCACAGTGTCATTTTTTGGAAATGAGGATTGGTATGCAAACCAACCATTTTTGGAAGTATAGGATTGGTATTCAAAACAAAATTGTGACTTAGCCGTTCCTTGCTTATAGTTCTTAGCTCTAAGAAACTAAATTTAGAGTAGCAAATGGTTTTGGAAAAGGACTCCTGGAGAAGAGATGAATGATTTCTTTGAGAGAGAGATACCAAAGAGGGAAGATCTACAAATTGGCACGAGCTTGTTTTATTTACCCTCTTGCGGGGGTTACTGCAGCGCTTTCAAGGGAATGTTCCTTAAGCTTGTTGGAAACTTAACGTTTGCTGCGTTTTGTCACACTGTAAAAGCTGACTGCTTTAAAGCAGGCCCTGGTGAGATTGTGTATTTGCTTGAACTGTTCTTTTGATTCTCTACCCTGTCAGAGTTGACCAAGGGCTAAGTTTAAGCATGTTGCTTTCTTCAAACAGAGAAGTGTAGAAGTAGGGGGTGAGGGGGTGTTTGGGTGTGGTGTTTTTTTTTTTTTTGTTCAGTTGATTGGTTTTTGTATTTAGATGTGTCCTGGCAGTATCTGGTTGCTTGCTAGGACATCTAGGAGATAACTGTGCAATGTAGCTAAGTCGCTGCAGCCTCCTGGCTGTCTCAACTCTTCTCGCAGATTAAGTTAGCGGTCTACTACAAATTGTGTTATTAGAATGTCCTTACCCTTTCCTGAAAGGAGAGAAGCAGCACATAGTTCCAACAAGGAAGACAGAGGCCTCGATGGAATATCTTTGAGTGTTTATCTCGTGAGTAATGCCCCAAATGGGCTTTAGACCTAGTATTATTTCTCTGTATCGGTTTCTTTTTTGTAGACGTTTTTCAACATTTTTAAGATGGATGTGGGAAGAACTTGCTGTGAGTGAGCATGTACTTAGGGTTGCTTTTCTAGGGAGAGTGCAAAGACAGGCTGGCCACCAGTAGCACAAGCAACACAACTGAATCGTCAGTGTTTGGTGAAATCCAAGGTTTAGCGCACCAGCAGTGCAGGGCATTAGTTTGACCTTGTGAAAAATTGCTTGCCTTGGAACAGTGCATCTCCTGTGCTAGAATGAACTTCTGTGTTGTTTTCCTGTGTGTGCACTGTGATGGTAAGAGCTCTCTGCAGAGAGCTTCTTCAATAGTGGTGCTTGAATGCTGGCTCATCAAAGCACTGTCATATGACTTGCATTCTGCATCCATTTACAAAACAAGCCATCAGCCTGAAAAAATAACTCTATGCTTTTATACAATTAAATCCGGCATAAGAGCACCTTCCTTCTATTCCTTTTTATTGCAATTTTTTTTAAAGGTCTGCTTCTTAAAGTCCTGTTGGTCTTCTCCTTGGGTGCTGTACCTTATCTGTAATACAAAATCTCTCTGCCTTGGTGAAATTGTTTTAAAACTAAAACCTGAAATAGATGTAATGCAATGGGTTTGAAGTTTTACTTAAAAGGAGTTTGTTTAAAAACAACTCATTTTTGAAGCTTTGGTTAACTTGCTAACAGTAGAAAAGATGAATGGAGATGCTGCTTTTTCTTTCATTCAAAGGAAAATGACTAATTGCTTAAGCATGGTTTGTTTTTTACTCTATTGTTCTAGCTTCTCTATGGAAGTATGTGCCATTGTAGGGTTTTTATCAAGTAATCATTTTATGAGAGTCACCAACTTGTGTAAGTGGAAAAGCTGAGGGCAAGGGAAATGAATGTTGCTATTTTAGTGTCACGAGTGCGTACAGAAATGTAATCAGTGTTGTGTACTCTTACAGATGTACTGAAGACTTGTTAGTGGCCTAAGAATAGGTACTTTTTGATTATCTCTAAAGGTTTCCTAAGCTCTAGCTTGTATTTTAAAACCCGCTTAAACTAACAGCGACGGTCTTTTGTTATGTTACAGATGAAGCTGCTTGGAGCTTTCATGTAGCGTTGCGGCATAAAGTACGTATTTTGTTCAGGTTGCTGCTATTATTTTTGTAATCTAGGTGGATGACAGAGAAGATAGGAGACCACAGGATAGAACATAGCTCTTTGTTTCACTGATTAGTTTCTCCAGTGTGTCTCTACAGGAAGTAGAAAAGGCCAGAAGGATGTATTTAATAAGAAATCTGAGCTCAAGTAGTAATGTTTTCAGCCAGAATCCATTTATTAGTCTTGTTCTGGAGATTAAATGTTCATGGAAAGCCTGATGTGAGTTTACCCATTTGATATTAACTGCTTCGACTTATTCAGAGATGTATGTTCTATCTCTGGCTAGCTCAAAGCAGCTTGCTTTATTTTCAACTTCTTGATGATACTTCAGGCATTTTTACTTTCTTAGCTTTAACTGCATATTGACCCGAGGTCTCATGTCTCAAACTGGTATTTGAACTCATATTTTCGAAAGGTTGACAGCTTCCTTAACTTTCACGGGCAGAGATCTTTTTGGTCCTGTGCAACGTGCAACATGAACAGCTTAGTCTCCTGTTTCTCATTTTGGGGTGTATTATCAAGATTATGACTGAAGGTTGATTTTTTTTTTTTCTTTTTTGTTATTGAAGATTTCAAATTCCTTGCTCTCTTTACCCAAAAAGGCTGCTAATTTTTTTTTTTTTAGTATTATGTCCCTGTTAATTAGGATTCTGATTTTGAAAGTCAAAAGGTTGGTTGATTTAAAACCTTTTGTTATCTTTTGTTATACCTTGTTCTTCACAGAAACTTAATCAAATGCTATGCTTTTGTGAAAGTAATACCCTTGAAGTACTCTCTATTAGCCAGATTTTTCTTATAATTCACATCACGTATCTTTTGATGTCAGGTGAGGTGTAGGTATATAGAGAGCGGAGAGCTTTGACATTGGTTCATCTTTTAAAAGTTTCTTTCCAAAATGCTTTTACGTTATAACCATATGTAACTTTACCGTTATTTGGAATCAAGAAAAAGATATCTTTATGAAAAAGCTGATGATGGGCTAAGATGGGGATAATTGCTTTGCTTTGCTTCTAGATAATGTCTCACTGATAAGCGCTTTTGCCAACACTTCTGAGCATGCTGAAGTGATGTCCGCTCTATGTTTTTGCTGACAGATTCTTTTTCTAGCAGTAGCTACTCATGAAAACTTTTAAACCAAAGAAGCAAATGTTACAGGCTATTCTTTTGAACTTTGTTACTCTTAAAAAGCCAACAGAACATGCGAGACTTAAGAGGGAGAGGAAGAAAAGAGATAATCCTTTGCATGTGCAGTGACTGTTGCTGTTTTTAATGTAGTTGGTGCATCATCTCTGACTCCTTTCTTTCAGTTCAGGGAGCTGATCTGTCTGGAAAATAGCCCTGAAAAGAAAAAATTCTTAAAAATTTCCCTAAGTTATTTTTATTTGTTTTGGTTTGGGGGGGGGGGAGGGGGAGAAGAGGGGATATAGCAGTTCTGATGGTTATTGTTTCTTAAAAAACCTGAAGTTTCTAAATGAGAAACCAAATTCCAACCATAATTACCACCAAATTTCAAACCATAATTACTACCCAAAAGTAAAGTTAGAATTGTACCTGATCTCATTCTCTGGAGAAGCCCCGAGTTTTTAGGCTATAGCAGAGGAGAGATGTAGTGAGTGAATGTTGCCTATTGGACTGACTAGGTTGCTCTCACCTGGCATTTGACTTGGTTACCAAGGCAAGTGTTTTGGGGTTTTTTTTTGTTTTTTTTCTCTTTTTTTTTAACTGTCTTATTTCACTTAAGTGTCCCATTGGGCATGTCCTGTGCTCCGATGGGGAAAGTGCTAGATATAAGATGTAGAAAAGTGTTAGTGCAGAAAAGTAAGCTAGTTAACATTACAACCTTTTTGTTGTTTGGGTTTTATTGTGAAGTCTCTTTGACCTTTCTGGCATTATATATAGTTGCACGTACATCTTTCTAGGCTTTGAGATTTTTCACGTGAAAGCTTAGGAAGTTTTTTTTTCCCCACATAAAAACAAGGAGTTTGTACTCCTTGCCCTTGGCACACAGCCCAAATTCTCTTATAATTTCAAGGAGAAGATATGTGCTCTGCTTAGCTTAGCTCTTTTCTTTCTCCTAACTTGGAGTCTTTGGAGAACATAAGCCTTTCTGCCTAATTCCCTTAAGGCTTACCTTGCAGCCAGGAACATCCACAGCATTGCTTTCCTCTTGATGAATTAGTTTAAGGTGTATGTGGAAAATAGAATAATCACGTTTTAAGCAATTTTAATTCATCTTGACTGATTTCACTCTTCACAAGTATTTCTGCTATTCGTATTTCTGACTGCTCTAAATGCTTAAGTTTCTCTTGTCCCATGTTATGGTGGATTTTCCACCCACCCTTTCCCCGCCCTGAGGAAAGATATGGAGTGCATCTTTGCTTGCTTGCTTAGTTTTTTGCTCTGACAAGTAGGTTTGCATGCTCTCCTGGCTCTAGCAGCTGTCATAACTTTGTCACTATTAGCATTTTTCTGGCTAGAGCTGTTAATTTGCTGTTTCCAGAAGAAAATGTAGTCTAAGAGGTCTTTCATCCTGGTTCCTGAACTCCATGCTGGACTGCAAATACATTCACATGACTAAGCATCTTGAACATTTCCTAAAAGAGAATCTTTGTCTGGAAATGAAGACTCAGCAAAAAGGGACTGGTGAGATGTACAGCTTCTTATTAAACAGGGAAGCCTGCTAAATTTCAAGCTGAGGGTTGTGGCATCAAAAATGGACCAAAGGCAGAGTGCCTGAAGTGCTCTAACACTGAATATTCAGATTGCTACAACCCTTCCCCCCCCCCCCCCCAAACAAACACCAAAAAACATCTCTCCTGCGCGTAGATGAGTTTCTAGGTGCGTTTATCTAAGTGAGGGCACGCTCTTAACTGAATTTTTGGCAATCTACAGGACACTAAACACGTTGGAAAAGTAATTGGCTTAGTATATGTGTGCAGATAGACTATTTCTAGATTTATTTCAGTATCCTCTTAGATACTTGTTAAAAAAAGTAAATAATAAAACAGGGTATGAAATGTAATGCCTACCCTTGCAATTAATGTAGCTTCTTTCTGTGATCAAAAAGTAGATGATTTTTGTATTAATTGCATACAGTAAACAAGGGACTGTATTCTGATTTAGGTGGAGTTAGACCATTTACTACAGTTCTGTTGCACCATATCCTTTAAGAAAGGACTCTGTCTAGTTTTTAAACTACTGTCAGGTTACAAATAAGCATTGAGTCATGTGACTGTTAAATGAATGTTAAGTACGTGATGTCTGAATCACCTGTTATTTGGCATCCTGTGAGGCAAGTCAAAGGGAAAATGCATCTGTTGAGCAGGAAGGAAGCTTGCTGTTGTGAAGTCCTTGCGTCTTTTTTGACGTACTGATTCCTTGTTAATTTTGCAAATATTGCTCTGTCCTTTTCTTTCTGGAGTAGATTAGTGTGTGTCCTCTGGACTGCAAGGAAGGATAGTGTTAAATACTGAATGCCTTTTTGTCAGTGGCAGAAGAGGATTGCATCTGCTTATGAGGTATTGCGCGTGTTTTCCAGTGGGATTAAAAGGATGCTGTGAGAGCTGGTTGTGTTTTGGATTAGCATAAACTTCAAATTGCGGTACAAAATAATGCTTAACTTTCAGAGCAATTTTTGGCTTGATTATTGGACTTGATGTTTAGAGGTAGTCAGTGGACCGCTCAGAAATGCGTGGTGAGCTCTAATTTGTCATGGACTGTGTAACTTGAGGAAAAGAACTTGCTTTTTGTGTATATAATGGAAGTGGAATAGTAGCTTGTATTCCAATATAACATAAAAGAAAAATGTAATACTAGCAAGTATGTACCCATACTTGCCACATATGGGAATTTTCATTTACTATTTTGGGTCCTCTAAGATTGATGTTTTGTACCTGTGCTATTTTAATAAGTTGTATTGAGAGATATGGTGTAGTCTTCTAAAACAGTGTTCAGTCTTTGTTTTGATCTTAAGTGCCTAGACTTCCCATGCTTTTGCTTCTGAGCTGAGGTCAGATAAGAGTTTTCAACTGAAAATAATGAATGGCTTCTCATTATGAAAGGAATTTTCAACTTAAAAAAATGTAGCCAATGCAACATCAGAATATTGTGTATCTCATATTTAGTAGGTATTTGTTTATGCAGATCAAGAAGCTGCAGTAAGATCTCTTCTGGGTCTGTCTCTGCTTGCTTAGCTCTTTTTGCTTTCACGCACAAAGTGCTTTAACGATATTTGTGTAAGCAAATGAACTCTCATGGATGAGGGAGCGAGAGCTCTTATTGCATATACGCTAGTAGTGCTCTGTCTGCACCAGTATGTTGCACCAGCAAGATTGCATGTTTTAACAGTGTAGCAGAACAACCCCTATAAGCCAGGCAAGCTGTTATGTGCGGTTTTGCTGGCACAAACTTCTAGCCTTCAGTTTGAACTTGCTGTTCAGATCCAAGAGGAAATGAAACTGTAAGAATTACTGGAAATAAGGCAACTAGAAGGAACATCATAGTTCTTACAGTTGAATTTGTTCTAAGAGATTTTTATAGAAATATGCATATATATATATATATTTTATAATGACTAATTTTTTAGTGTTTAATTTCTGTGGAACATATTCCTCTCTGTTTAGTCTTAAGACTAAATTCTGTCTGTTGCTGTTGTTAATAGACTACATAATGGATTTGTGTAGCAGTACTTCATGTACCTTTGAGTATATACCAGATAAATGGGGGAGAGACCTGTGGGTTTTTCTTGTCGATATTAGCACAACTGGTACTATTTTTTTTTCCATTTGCTGTTGTTCAGTGGGCAAGTTTTTGTACAAATTTTAAGTCAAAGAACTGAGGAGAAAATGAGCAAGACATCTTATTATGTTAGGCTTCTGTCACATTCTTGTGGGTGATTGCCTGATGACTAAGTGTAGTGCAAACGCTAAATTCTTTATTTGCTGTGTTGAACAATACAAATTTAACATGGCTGGAAAACGTGCAACCTGCTTGTTAGTATTGGCCACGGTCTAGATAGTAGCTTTCCTGAGGCTTCACTGGCCCAGGTGAAGACTGGGATTTTTTGCTTTCTGGTTTTAATTTTCTCTCTCCTAAATTTTAGGAGAGCTCACACCTTGACAGTCTTGTTCATCCTCACGTGTGCTCTGGGATACGTAACCTTGTTTGAAGAGACACCACAAGATACAGCCTACAATACAAAGAGGTAAATATTGTTTGAGAAAGTGTCCCTGTGTGATGTATGTTAATAACGAGTAGCTGTGTGCTCGCATTACCTCACGGTAAGCTAAGGTACAAATTTGCAGTATGATAGGTGCTCTGGGAATGGCCTGGGTATGTGCTTTTACCCTGTGGATAAGCTGCCCACAATGACCTTGCATTAACCTTTTTGCATGCCAAAACCCTTAGAAACGGACATGACCAAACTTAAATGTACAAGCGTCTTTGATACTGCTCTTTGAATTTAATTTCTGATCAGTTTAGCCTTGCTCGCTGTCGTAACTATTCTGTGTGTGTGATTTAAAACAAAACACACAACTCCTCCAAAGCCTCAAAGTGCTGGATGTTTTTCTTGAGCAACCGTTCAGGCTCTCTTTCTTAAAATAACCTAGCGGTCTAAATTATGTCTACAGTGACTAAATTTTTTCTGACTTTAGTATTTATGTAAAATTACGTTTGGGACGTACAGAATTGGGTTGAAAATAAACATGAGGATTTGTAGCTCTAAAGGAGACTCTTGGAAAATAAGAATGAAACAAGTCTTACCTGTATGCTCCATTTCTACCGTGATTTAAATGGATTAAACACAGTTGAACTTCTTGTCCCCCATCGTCTTTCTTTAATAAAAAACGAGAAGGGGGAAGAAAAGTAGTCTGTCTTCAATCTAAGTATGTTTTAAGAATTAAGGGTTACTTACGGACGTCAGAGTACCTGACTAATAACCATGAAAATCATTGTTTTCTATCTGTCTGGCTTCTTAAATACATCACTGACTGATTTTTTTTTTTTTCCTTGCTGTTAAAGGGTTTTTTTCTACTTTTTCTTTTTCTTTTTTTAAAGGGTCTCAGGGTAGAGCATTCATTGTCATGGAGATGCAGGAATTAGAGTATTTCCTGAGATAATCTTGGTTATTATTGTATCAGTTACACAACAGATGCAGTTAATATAATTCACACTCATACATCTGTGTGGAGCTGAGGGTTTGTATTTTATGTGTGGGTGTGAAATGGAACGGGTTGGAACATAGTGCCTTGTCCGGAGCTGGGAAAATTTCTGAAATGCTTCAGTGTGAGCAAATACCGTTTTATTCCTAGTCACAGCAATGAGTGTGTCTAAGCAATAGATGGAGGTGTGACACTCTCTAGGATGAAGCTCAAAATAGAGAAGGGGAAAAGCTGGAGGAGAAGTGATGACACATCATTAGGGGATAATACAGATAGGTAATAAGGTGACTCAGTGGAATATCCTATTATTGAGATTAGAGCCATTACGGCTTTAATAAAAACAAAACTAAAGAAGATTAATCGTCCCATTAACCTTTCTTTCATGAAACAAATGTTGCTTTCTCCAAGTTCAGTCCGGAGAATAGCATTTCCAGCTGTTAATAAATTTGACAGCATGGTACTAAGTGATGAGTAGTGAATGGTCTTTGATGGCTTTGTATTGCTTCTTGTAGGATACTGCATGCAATATCTAGCTGCAAAAATACCTGAAAAGCAGCATCCTGGGAATCATATAAGGTCTTCCAAATATTGATTGGATACCATTTGTCTGTATTTTGAAGTTACACCTCTCTTCCCGCTCATGCTCTATCCTTGTGCTATTGCCATAGTCACTCTAGCCACACGCCTTATTCTGGCATTCTTGCAGAAGAATTGGAGTGTGTTTTTTTTATATTGGAGGACTGTCTCATCTTGAGTGCCTGATATTTCCTGACTAGTTACCCTTTCGTGGGAGAAGCCTGGAAACTAACATGTTCAGCGTTGGTGTTTATTATTTTTGGGGAGAATTCAACAGCCGGCCTGCATGTTAAACCACAATCTGGAATACAGCTTCTTGGCTGCTTACCACTTCAAGTCCAGCTGCATTTCTGCCCCGCAGAAATGTTGGGATCTGAGATAGAAGTTGGCTTAGCAGAAGTGTTACTTTAGCCGAAGATATAAATCAGTGCGTGCATAACGCGAGTTCTGTGTGCCTTTCCTAAGCTTTACTTCTGTTGCCTTGGATCCGATTTATAAGATGGGAGGAACTGTCTGTGTTAACTCAGCACACTCCTTGTGCTGAGTCAATTTTCAGTGAGCTCCTACCTGTGCTCTTTTAAATCTCTTCTTTTCTAAGGTCTTTGAGAAAAGTGATTTGCCGAGTGTAGCACCATTAAGCATAAAGGATTCCAGCTCAATTCATGTTCTGGCCATTGTTCTTACCACCTTTTGGATCTGTGCGCCTGCTTCTCTGCCCAGTGTCGCTGTTCCTGATGAGTTTTATGTGGCTCTCTAGGTGCATATTTGAATAAAAAGATGTTTTCCTGCACAGGAGTAAGGTGGTCACAATATGCACGAGTATACCTATAGCCTCAGTTTTCACCAAAAGTGTTCAACCTCTGTGACTTAAAATGCTTTATTCTGCCCTAAGATGTTTCTCAGGCTTAACGTAGAGCTGTTGTGTGTTGCGATCTAAAATTTTGGCCTGTTTAAGGTTCTTGCTCTATGCAAATATTTTATGGGAACACTTGCCTGCTTAATGAACCCCGGTAGTTTTATTACAGCTTGTCCAATCAGCTGTGTCTCTCGCTGTCATGCTTTCTTATTTCCAACTACTGCACAATGACAGTGGAGCAGTGTTTCAGTCCTTAGGTGCAGAGTCTAAATAAACAATTGCAAACAATTAAACCTCTGTTTTCAAGCTCTTACTGAGAGATGCCAGAATGCTTGTAAACTGGTGCTTAGGGAAAAATATTATAATAGTAGCAGAACATACAAATTGCTGTGCTATCTGGTGTTACTGTGTTGCCTGGGCTGGCTAAAGCAATAGGAAGCAATCTTCTCTCATTTCCTCTAAATATGCTTCATCCAGTCACCTGTAGGAGCAGCCCAGCTGAGGACGGGTGGCTGCATTAATGCAGTAAGTCCTCAGGAGAAATGATGCATGAAGCAGAATTGTGCTCTGAATCAAGTTTTATGAGATCCTGGGGTGTGGCATCTCTAGCTAAGATTTACACTTGCAACTGTTTATATTCTGACCTTTGAGTGCCATTTTCCTTGCTGGAATATGTTAGGGCTGCTAAAAGAGAGTGTTAAAGTTTACAAAAATGTTTTAAAAAGTTTTTTAAGTAAATCTATTCAAAGTTCGTTAGGATCATACACAAAGATGTTGATGCGATCATGCGATGTATGTGATCAGATTGTCTCTAGTCTAAAGACAATCGAAAATTTACTTTGTGATGTTGCACTGTAGTAACCTGTCTGATCGATGAGACTTTTTACTCCCACAGTTACTCAGTATTTAAAGAAGCCTTGAAATCGTTCATCCCATCTGACGATTGTCAACTTCTCTCCTTCGGTTAGGCAATTGGGAGATGATATCCTCAGAGCCGGAGCACTGTCCTGTCTGGTAACTGCCTTTACATTCCATGGCTGTGGAAAAAAAACCACATCTCCCAAACATTATATTGAGCGGGGGCTTTTGGGGGGAAAAAAAAAATAGATGCATTCGAGTTTAAAAAGTCGTGTATGTATCAGGGTTGTACACTGAATTTCAAGCTATGGAACAGTCTCTACACTAGTTTTCCGAAATAATCGATCACTGTATTTCACCATGGTAATGAACACAGGTATATGTGTATTTTCAAGGTGATGATCTTTAATTTCCTGACATCTGAACCTCCAGAAAGACAAGGTAGCAAGGATGGATGCTAGACCTCCATCTGCCAGTCTACCAGTTCTTCAGCTCTTGATTCACTGATGGGATTGTGCCAGTCATGCTAATGTAGATACAGCCAGAGAAAGGGTAGGGGACGGGAGCTGTGTAGTTAAAAGCCTAGGACAAAGGATGATATGCAGATGCTCATAGACAAGAGTCATTGTCTTGTGTCTCTGAATCGACTTTTAAAATAACACAAACAATACCTTATTTGTACTAATGAAACAGTTTCCATGCTCTCCATTTCTTCGTTTGGCTAAGCGCTAAAATTATTTTTATAGACGCTTTACTGTTTAGCGTCTTCCTGATGTGCTGCTAAAGAAAATATATTAGCCGTGTCCCTCCAGGCTATCTGCAGGGAGAGTTTGAAACAAACCCTGTACCCCTCTGCAATCCTACAGCAGTCCTCATCTCAAGGCATGGTAAGCCAGCAGGACGAGATGCAGGTTAGCCTTTGAAAGCTTCATAAGGAGGCAGTGTGGTGATGTTAAGGCGAGAAATCTAGTCCCTACAGGAAAAGGGGTTACGGAGCTGGCGTGGATGCCTTGCAACATTGCAGTTTTCTTCAAAACTTCCCATGGTGACCTTAAAACGAAATCGTATAGCTGAAACCACAGCTTATTTTAGTGCAACTGTCCTCAGTGGATTTTAGAGAAAGGAACATAAATCACCAAGAGAACTTACAGTTATATTCAGGCCATCCCTAGCTATGGGAAAGTTACCCTCACAAGGGGTAAGACGCTGACCTTGGACACTTTGGTTTGTGGTTGAGCATAGTGATAGCGAACAGAGAGATATGTATTGTTACATGAGACTGAATGTAGCCTATTCAGTTCAAATGTAGTTTTACAGTCCTGTTATTTCCAAATACAGAGCAGTGACTCAAAATGCAGAATGTGCTCATTATTTGAGAACAGCTGAAAACTCTTTTGGTTTCTTCATTTTGGCAAATCATGATGGAACTATCTATTAACAGTTTAATCCAGTAGCTAAGTCTGTTGTGCAGCCAGTGTGTTTCCGAGTGTCATAAAGCAAGCAAAAAATTGGGTTACATCTGTTAAATAGAAGCCATTTTATTTTCACGAAGCACAAACTTCTTATACACAAAAGTTGTCGCAAAATAGTTGTCGTCAATTCTCATGTTTTCTATTTTAAGAGAAGTGTGTGTCATGTTTAAAGCAGAAATAGTCTGGTATTGCTGCTTTGTACTTACGAGCTCCCAAACTGTATCGTGTCTTTTCTTTACTAGTTGGTGACAGTGCTGCCTGTCTAAAGACAGGCTGTTGGTATGTAACAGATGTTCTAATAAAGGCAAATTATTAGGAGTTTTCTCTGGTTCCTGCAAACAGAGCCGTTGTAGTTACAGTCCAGAGCCGCAACGTTAGCTGTAAACATGGCCTATGCTTACCTAGCGGTGTAGTGAAGTATTTATCAGTTATCTGTAATTCTTTAGCCAGCTCTTCAGCAGCTAATATGAGAAAGCATGAAAGTTGTTGGGTGTTCCAATGGAGAAAGTGCAGCCTTTTAGACTGCATTTTGATCCGTTATACCACTTCATCCGTTAAGACTGAAGGAATATGTTTGTGTATAGAGCATGGGCCTCTGTCTTCATGAAAAACAAGTGGTGACCCCTGAAAAGGAAATGCTGTTTTGTACATGTAGATGTTTAAAATCTAATTACCCCAGGACAATTTTAAGTTGATGTTAGCTACTTTGAAATTATCCGCTAGACCTCACCCACCTAGCTCTCATCTCATTCTCTTCAGGTCTGTTGTGTAGTAAATGACGGGGGTTCCTGACAGTAAGGTTTAGGTGTCCAGGCATGACTCCTTGCCTTTCTCATTTTTGTTCTGGTTGCGAAGCAAAAATTTATCTTAAAACATGCTGTATGTAATCGGCAAAGTTCAAATTATAGATCTCGAATGTTGCTTGTTCAGTTTGTTCCCCTTGGAACGACATGCTCTTGGAGCCAATTGTCTACCTGTAAGGGATATATCCCTTTCGTGTTAGCTTAAACTGATGGGTTTAGCCATAAATGGGGGCTGCTCTATGCCTTCCTTGGGTGAGCGGTCAGCTGACCCAACTGAAAACTAATCTCAGCCATATCCGTCCTTGCACCATCTTGTTTTGGGCATAAAATACTGCTTCCAGGAAGGAGGAAGAGGGCAGGATTGTGACAGTCCTCGCTTAGCATTTATGATGCTGTGGAACTACACAGTAACTGAGAATGGGAGAAAACTGCAGAGCTGGCCTGAGAGTATTGGGATGAAGTTGTACGCCTTTGGGATACCTGGGCTTGGGGTCTGATTTTTCTTTAACATCTCAGTTACGGAAGCTCTTTATCATATGTCCTGCTCTTGAAACAGCAGGAGCGTTTGGTCATGTAAGCTTCTCCTTGTCTTTACTTTAAAAAAATATATATATATATTTTTTTTTTTTTGA